GAACCACCGACCTTCTGATTAGTGGCTGACCTGCTCTGCCACCTGAGCTACAGCCACCTTGCATAAAAACTTGCATAAAAACTTGCATAAAGGTGGTGGTTGGGCATGCAACAGGAGGCTAACCCCTGGACCTCTCAAGTCTACATTGCTAGCCACTCACTTTGTGAAGTGAGTGTAAATTGGAAAGCTAGAGAAACTGTTGGGCACGCCCTTCATCCATCATTGGAGATCTTTTTTGCTGGAGAAGTGTGCATTATGTTAGCAAAATCCAGGTCAATCCATTTGGTGATGTTCAATAAGTTTTGATACGTTCTGCCCTTTAAATTAAAATGCCATTGGTTTGATCGGTAATTTGGTGGGTATTTAGTCAATAGCTAAACGGTTATTAAATCAACTTTTATTTCTCTGAAAACCTCAAATACCTTTTTTAAACTAGATGATTCTGCTGGGTCTCAAAGTCTGTGTGTGTATGATAAACTTGCTAAGTGTGTATCGTGGTGCCGCAGGAAGATGAAGAAGAGGAAGAAGATATCGACAGCTTGGTTAGCTTTCATAGAAGAACGATGAACTCAAATTCCTCCGGCCTGCGTGGCTCAAAGGTAAAGTAACGACAGCTCTCAGAACTCACATTAGGTCTCTCAAGTAGTTTTTGAAGTGCAGCTCATTACGTGTCTCATAACAGAGTTGATACTTACTTATCTGAACAAGGATCTTTAACCTCAGGAAATCCTCTAGCGCGTTAGGAAGTGCAAAACTGATAGTGCGAGTCCAGCAAAGTGTTTCTATAGTTACCAGAGCCTGAATAGAAGGCAAAGCTGTCACCAAGACGACTTTAATGCTATTAATATGGATTTCTGAAACATCCTGATAATGCTTAACTCAATTTGTCCCTAACAATCTTTCTGTATCTTTCTAGAATTTTTCTCAATCTGCAGCTTCTTTGTTCCCTTGTTATTACTTTTTAAACTGAGTCTATTTCTCCACTTATTAACTAAAATTGAATATTTGTCATCAACTTGAAACAAATGCAGGCATTGTTAACGATCGTTTGTTATCATGCAGAGCACACTGGGCAGCATGATGAGCCTTTACAGTGAAGCTGGAGACTTTGACAGTGTGGAGGTGAAGGGAGATGTTGTGTTCTCTGTAAGTTACGACGAGAGCAGCCAGAGCCTCCAGGTCTTCATCAAGGAGTGTCATCAGCTGGCTTATGGCGATGCTGCACGGAGTGTCTGCAACCCGTAAGAGCGAAGTTTAGTCAAACTTTAACCTTCAGATTAAGCAGCGCTGTTGATTGTGCCTAAAAACGACACATTTTTCTACTGCACACACACCCCTCAGTAATGTAAGCAAAGCTTTGATCAATGTCGATAAGAGGTTACTGTGTTTACCGAGTCTCAGTAAACACATCCCAGAGCTGATTAGTTGAGCTTCACAGGAAATTGAGTGTCAACAGACATTTTTCTCAGCATTTCGTCAGGAAATACAACAGATGAGCCGTAATAATGATTTGACCTGCTTCTGTGTTTATGTTGCAGCTATGTCAAATGTTATCTGCTCCCTGACAAATCCCGCCAGAGCAAAAAGAAAACCAGCACCAAGAGAAACACTATAAACCC